AAAGACACGCCGATGCGCAGTCAAACATCGAATTTATAGAAAAAGGGACTTCAGGCAGTGGCAGGAGATACAATGCACCAGCTATGCCGCGGCAGTGGTCATAGAGATTGGGTGAAGCACTGGCAGATCCCTTGCCATGCTACCGTGGTCACCTGTTAAGCTACATTCCCCGGCCAGGTAGTTCGGCCTTGCGATATGCCCTACAAGGGGAGATGCAGAATATGTGGAGAGGAATGGATGGCAAGGCCTATGATGGACCAATCGCCGCCATACACATTAGACGGACAGATAAAATCATATCTGAAGCAAGGTCTCATACGGTGGCCGAGTTTATGTTCTACGTGGAGTGTTTCTTTAATATGAAAGAGGCGGAATATGGTTTGGAAACGGGCAGTGCCAACCCACCAGCCTGGTCTCGACGGAGACGCCTCTTCTTGGCTTCTGATGATGCGTTGGCTTTCCGCGAGGCCCAATCCCAGTACCCCAGGAATGAATTTATTGGCCGACAGAGAAAGGGCAGTCAGGTAGATGATCGTAGGTCTACCGAGGGTGTGTTTGCCATCACTTTGGACCTGCATCTTTTGTGTTCAGCCGATTTCCTCATCGGTACCGGCAGTTCTTACATTTGCAGGCTGGCCTGTGAGCTGGCCTCGTTAAAGTCTCAAAGTCAGGGTGATGCGGCTTTTCAATGGCACACAGTTGATGCGATGTATGAGTGCAGTTTTTCACGGAAACGATGGTGGCGAGCCATTGCAGACTTCAAGCAGGAGGGTGTTAAGCTGGGTGATCATGTGAACATACTGTCAACACAATGGGACGCATTTGAACAGACTGGTTGGTTATTGTACAGATACCGGGATACTGTCCTACCGGCTTGACTATTTCAAGAGATTGTTCAAACCATCCAGTAGCTGGTTGTTTCTCTTGTCTATTTGGATAAAGTACATTACTGACTTTTATTCTAAACTTCGTTGTTCCAATATTGTGTGTTTCCGTATGGTGTGAGATCTGGAACCGCAGTAAGACAGTGTGTCATTGGTCAAGTTCTCAAATAGTTGTGTGGCGGTGTGAGGGGGGGAGCGGTAGGGTGTTTCGCTCAAGCCTACTGCTGGACTGTTGTGATCGCAGACTCATCACACCAAGGCTGCAGTCACGCTGACTGCCCGCACCCTGATTCAACACAAACACTCGATGGGGTTTTAAACAGTAGTAATAGAGGTCAGAGGCGATGGCAGGAATCTCAGGTCTCAAAGCTTGCGCCTTGTTCCCACATACAACGCTGGTCTACACGTGACCAGAAGTTCAGCGTATCATAATGGGCATGGCGCAGATCTCACTGGTAGTTCCAAAAACAAAGGGAGGGGATTTGAAGAATTATCACCATTCATGTACGAGGTGTCGGTGTTTGGTTGGGGGAGGGGAATGTTGTAAATGTAACCAAAAGCCATGATATCACCGTTTAATTACGCCTTCTGTGTGGTTAGACCAAGGAAGAAGCCAACAAGTGGAGCGAAAAAGTAGCAGTCAGGCCGCAACCTAGTAGAGCGTATTTTAGGCAAGTGAAGCGTTCAAGATTTGGACCAATGAGATTGTGGTCTCAAGTGAGGCCGAAAAACACAGTAAGGAGGTGTGCCGTTTATTGTTCTGGATAG